ACATGGCCAAACCATTTGATCTACTATCTACCGATAAAGTTCAATATTGGTTCAGGGACTCTCCTCCTGATATCATCGTTCTTAGGTCGATTTTTGTTTACTATGCCTAGTATAATACGTAAATATTTCATTTATGTCATCACTACTTCTATCTTATCTTCTAAAGGTAACGTCTCTGCCTTCTGAAGACAATGTCAATTTTTGACACTGATAACATATTGTGACTTTAAAAAGGTAAAGTCGTAGTCAACCCTGTAAAATTCCGCGAGACCTTTTTACGTGAATATACCCGCCACTTCATAAATCCAACGATGCCAAGTTGACTTACGTGGGGGATCATCGTCAACAGAGCTGTATCTACTGAACCGTTGTCTGTCACACGGATTCTTGCAGTCACTCACTTGCCGCCTCAAGCTAGCCACCAGACTTCTCAGCAGCTTCTGACGCAAGGGTAACTGTAGGCACATCTTCAGAGTCTTGTCCAGACACCTGCCTAAAGACAAGTAGTAGAGATTTGTAGTGCACATACCTTACTGGAACACCTAATAACCCTAACCCTAATTCTAACCCCTAACCCTAATTTTAACCCCTAACCCATAACCCCTAGCTCCAACCCATAACACTCCTATAATACCGGACTTTTCCAGGAGCTCCAGGATTTTTGTTTTTGTTTGGAATGAATAAAAAACACACTACCAAATGAACTTGTGATGGAGTTGTAAAAGGGTACAATCATAAAATTCAGTCCTCCTTTTATAGTTGTTATATGGTGATCATGGAGATCATAAACGCTCTGTCCCCCATCTTCAGCAGCCGCCGTAGAGTTCTACTTCTAATCGTAGCAGTACCGGTCTGATTGGTTGTCTGCTTTACATTTCCACCGAAAATTGTTACAAAATAATTCAGGTTTACGAGATAACGAGCAGGCTGGCAGAACAGCTGATGCCGTTCCTCTGGACGGTGAACTACTTTATGATAAAGCGGATGTGGTGAAGGTTGTGTGGGATCAAATAATTAGTGGAATAGGACAGAAACCATACATTGAAAGACTAATTCAAGAGAGAGGGGGGGGGGGGTGAGTTGCTGGGTAGCTGGTCTCTTAGCATGGCTACTGAAGAAGTGGACATAGCACATGTGCAGAAATGTCAATTCTTGATTCAATGATTCATTCATACAAAGGAAATATGGGTTTAGGTAATCAAATAAAATTAGATACTACAAAACCGACCCTTGTATGGCCATAACAACATACGAGTGGGGTTACAGAGGTCGAAGTTCCAACTGTAGGTAACAAACACTTGACGGTACCTGGCACTGAGACAAAACGTGTGTGCTGTCTCCACATTGAAGGTTGAATATGGCGTACCCAGTGCTGTCTTTCTCTAAATTTAGGATTGAGGCTTTAATCTCTTCCACAGTGCGACTCTCGTAGCACTGTCCGACAGCCCCGAGAGCGGTGTTTGTGTGAAAAACATTTTTTGGGGGGGTCGCAGTCATCGAAAACTTCTCCAGGTGCTAGGGCATAAACTGCAGCTTTTCTTATTACGGATGTCTTGATAGATCTTGTGTTTAACAAACCAGTAAAAGTAGTACTACTGTGTTGTTCCATGTACTGTGTTGTTCTCTGTTCTTCTTCTTTACGTCATCTTTTACCGCTTTGGGTGTCGAGGGAGATATAAGGTCCTGCTTCGTGCTTTTCTTGCTGCTTCGACCAAAGACACATCGTGGTGCTGTAGAGTTTCTCTGATGTTATCATTCCATGTGTTCTTGGTCTACATCTTGCTCCACGTCCCCTCCTCTTTCGGTATGTGCCTTGAATGGTATAGCATCAGCTCGCTTTCAAATTCAGCTGCAACTCGCTGCAGCCACGGTCGGTGTTCGAAACCGGGCGGTTCCCGGGGTTCACCCAACCTCTAGGAAATTGGTACCAGAGTTGACACTCTGGGGTAAATGGAAGAACGTGGCTGTAGCTACAGGGTTACGTGCTGACGGCGACACAAGCGGGCAGAGCACTTATGGTTTATAACCGTGTGCAATGACGCTTGTTCACATTTCCCGACTTTACCTTTACCTTTTTTATCAGAAGGCATTCTCTCCAAGTAAGCAAACTATTTGATTTGCTGTCTTTGTATGTAATTTAGAATTGATTCTGGTTCAACTTTCTCTGTACTTGCCACTAAGTGTTGTGGGGAGCTGTAGTTTATGCACTAGTACCACATATACTAATATTAGAACAATATTATAATAACTTTTTATAATAAAATTTGACATTAAAATAAACACCTCAAAAACTGAAGTAATGACCATAGGAAAGAAACACAGTAATGTAAACATAAAGATCAATGACATACAATTAGAACAAGTTCACGAATTCAAATACTTAGGATGCATATTTACAGAAGATGGAAGACTCGATAAAGAGATACAAGCTAGAGTTCAAAAAGCCAAAGCAGTCAACTACCAACTGGCCCCACTTCTTCGTCATCCAAAGATCTCGTTACCAGCCAAACAAAGGATGATCAACAGCATTTTCATCCCTACGTTATGTTATCAGTGCCAAACGTGGACAATGAACAAATCACATATGCAAAAAATAACTACGAGTGAAATGCGATGTCTCCGAAGAGTCACCAACAATACACGAAGAGACAGAGTCACAAACGACAGCATTAGAGACAAAGTTGGAACAAGAGCATGCATGAAACATATTGAAAGACAGAGAATGAAGTGGTTTGGCCATTTAGTAAGAATGCAACCGGATCAGATTGCCTATAAGGCCTTTTACAGTTGAACATCGGGAAGAAAGGCCAGAGGAAGACCCAGGAAAAAATGGATAGATGGAGTAGCTGAATACGGCCAGAAGATCCAGAAAACTGTCACTCAAATCACGCGAGAGGCTCAAAACAAATATTTTAAACTCACGACACTGGGCTACAACCCGGTAAAAGTGAAGAAGACAATAGATAGATAGATAGATTATAATAACTACAACCCCTTCGAGTTGTTTGTGTTCTTGTTAAGTGTTTCTGATGTGCATAGTGAGAATATTGAAAATGAAAACATACCTGAATTGTATAGTATAGTATAGTTGAAAAGTGGAAGTAATGTCTCGTTTAATTGTCTTGGTTGCTAACGAAGACAAGTCCACCAATACAAACTTGTCCTCCGTATACACTGTCAGCAAAGTTTAAGACACATTCAGAAACAGTCAAATAAGGTGTTCACAATAACACTTTTTTTTTTGGCGCGCAAAAAATAAATATATGTCAAGAAATTTCCCATCTTTTCACGATTAAATGTTAAAAGTTGAATTAAGAATTGACATAAAAGCACTTGGGACACTTCCATAAGTGCTCCGTTCCCATCTTCAGCAGCAAGCAAAAGAGTTCTAATTTGATGGTACCAGTAACTGTCTGATTATCCATCTCGCCTTTCCCTTGAGTGTTGAGCATCGGCCAGATCCCCTGGTAACTCCCCGCAGCGTCATTCTCCTCAGACTGTTAAAACTGGTAACTGAAACCGACTCACAAAGCATGTTAAGAATGGCAGAGACGCCTATGTTCCTTGCGCTTCCGAGGTCCCTGGTGGTTAGTTTTCTTTGTGTATTCTTTCTGGGAATGGAGGAGTGTTAGGGAATGAAAAGCCAGACAGACTGGTTGGTTCTGCACTAATGGGTAGTGAATTGATGCATGACAAGCTAAATGTGGCCAAGCTCCTTTAAAAGCAAGCGAACAATGCATTGACAATAATGAAACATTCTGGTCTGGAGAGAATGGTTCAGTTGATACTCGTCTTGCCTCCCCCCGAGTACCCCCCTGTCATCATCATCATGATCATCATCCTTATTTTCATTGATCGGTGATGTTAACTCGATGCCGACCGCCTTTATTTTCAGCTGGGTCGAATTTGACGCAATGCAGATTTGAAGCCTGAGACCTTTTGTCGGGTAGGCAAACGTCTAGTCACTAGGTTAAGGGGGCTTTCACGTGTTTTGTCATCTATCATCTCCAAGTTACTGTTCACATATATGTAAATCCCCATTGCTGCCAATTTGCCAAATTTCTGGCTATGATATCCTGTGTTATTTTACATTTCTTCTTTTCTTTAACTACTGTATTTCTCCCGGTTTAATTAGGTCATCAACGCCTCTTTTCCAAATCTGCTTTTAATGGGAGTGCTATCCTTGCCAAAGTTTTAACAGGCATTCTGAAGACATTTCCGAGTCATTTTCATCTTCTTCCTCTGATAAAGTTTGTCATTTATGAACATTTTGTTTTCCTCCAGAGTTTTTTTCATTTACGTTTTGTCTTGCGCGTCGGCTCCGTGACTAAGTCGATGCGACCGCTTCGCTTCGTAATGCCGGGATGCCAGGTTCGATCCCAGCTGCGGGCAATACGCCTTGTGTTGGTTTCGACAGTGGTATCAAGAAAGCCGACCGTCCGGAAGCAATGGCAAACTACTGGATGTAAATTGCCTAGAGAAACCACACAACAGCCAGGGGCTGTTAGGGTTGGTTCTGCAACGTCCTGTAAAGGATACGCAACTAACTTTGTCTTGCGCATTGGATATTGCACCAACATTGAGCTGCAAATATGGCGTAGGGCTGTTAGTGTTGACCAGTCCGGCAGCTGCCTTGTGCATTTATTTTGCGAATGCGAGCTTCAAGAGTATGCTGGGATATACCTGTTTTTTTTACTAGTTTTCAAACGGTCTTAACATTTTTTAAACCCTACTAGGATTTTCAATGGAACAGTGAAACATATTTTGTGTTATTTCCACTTGCACAGAAACGGAACAGTAGTGAAGCTGGAACATCAACTAACAAACGAATCAATTCCAATCCAACTTTCTGCAACCGGAAGTCAGCTACCGTCTGCAGGGAGAAGTGACCGCTCGGACAAATTTGGGATATTATTTATTTCTTTTTTTTTCTTTTATTAAACAATTTGGCCAATTATCATTGACATTTAAATATATCTTAGCTACAGGAAATTATAGAAATGCCACAAGACCGAGGGCAACGTCGCAGACATAACAGGTATTGATGTATTTCAGTCAGTTGTCAGAAATTATCAATTTTGATTTTAATGAATGATTGAATGCCCCGAGTGCTGTGATGTCAATTCTTGACTCAACTCAACGTGTCGGTTAACCAGTCTCAGAAAAAATCTCACAAACGTGCCGCCGCATACTCGTCAGTTACAGTTCGAATCGAATCTTCCATAAGGTGGCAACGACGGGAGATAAAAAAACAGTAACATTTAAAATAAAAAGCAATATACGCCTAACATACACAGGTCACGACTGCACCGCCACTAGCCCATGTGGTCTGAAATCCCCAGGGTCTCACAGGCACCACAACCCCCCTCCTCCCCACTCCTACTTTCCTTTCCCTCGCCGGTGCTACGCTATGAAGTTCGTGAACAGCGCTGAGATTTTTTCGGACCCAGTCTTGAGTCAGAAGTAGAACCCAGCACTTGTGGGTTACCCTTTGCCTTGTGTCATGATGTTGAATCCATCGTCTAAAACTACTCTCGTAAACAAACCTAGACTAAACATCCAACATCATGCCTTTACTTATGTAAACATCCACCAGATGCTTTTGATTTTGCCTACTTGCGGGGATGATCATGCTGTCCACATCTTGGATGTTCACCGACAGTTATCTGAATGTTGGCTGCAGTGGATTCCAGGGGAGAATTTGGTGCAGTGTAGACTGTAGAGTGATGAGGATGAGGCGATCTGACTCAGCATTCCATTCAGAGGAAAAGCAGAATGGACATAAGACTGCTACTGGTACCAGTGAAATTGGAATTCTGCGCTGGCTGTCAAAGTCAAAGAATGGTGATGATGTGCTTATACTTAAAGGGATGGCTCAACTTTGATGTGCTATTGGTAATGGCTCAGTCAAGGAAATGTCCTGTTTGATGTGCTTATGGGAATGGCTCAACTTTGATGTGCTTATGGGAATGGCTCAATCAAGGGAATGTCATGAGTTTGATGTGTTTATAGGAATGGCTCAATCAAGGGAATGTCCTGAGTTTGATGTGGTTATGGGAATGGCTCAATCAAGGGAATGTCCTGAGTTTGATGTGCTTATGGGAATGGCTCAATCAAGGGAATGTCCTGAGTTTGATGTGTTTATGGGAATGGCTCAATCAAGGGAATGTCCTGAGTTTGATGTGCTTATGGGAATGGCTCAATCAAGGGAATGTCCTGAGTTTGATGTGTTTATGGGAATGGCTCAATCAAGGGAATGTCCTCAGTTTGATGTGCTTATGGGAATGGCTCAATCAAGGGAATGTCCTGAGTTTGATGGGCTTATGGGAATGGCTCAATCAGGGAATGTCCTGAGTTTGATGTGTTTATGGGAATGGCTCAATCAAGGGAATGTCCTCAGTTTGATGTGTTTATGGGAATGGCTCAATCAAGGGAATGTCCTGAGTTTGATGTGTTTATGGGAATGGCTCAATCAAGGGAATGTCCTGAGTTTGATGTGTTTATGGGAATGGCTCAATCAAGGGAATGTCCTGAGTTTGATGGGCTTATGGGAATGGCTCAATCAAGGGAATGTCCTCAGTTTGATTTGCTTATGGGAATGTCTTTAGTTTTATGATGTCAGTTTTCCACTCAGTGGCACTTTGTCTGGTTCATTTTTCTTTTTCATGTTCTCTGGCTTTTAACTGGTAGAAATTCTAGTCTGGTTCCAGAATTTGAATTTTGCATTGCACATCAGCACATCTGTTTTACAAATCTGACTTACTTATATGCAGACTGATGGTTCCTTGCTGCTCAGGCAGATGTGCCCTGGCATTTGAGGTAAAATCCCTATTTAGTTGCTTTTTGCAACAAGCTGTATACGTTTTTGCCCCCAAAGGGTTCCTTTTTACTTTAAAACGAACCTTTGCATTCAGAACTGTAAGTGCTGATATATCAGTTGTGTGTGTGTCTTAAAAGGTCAAGATCGGGGTCGCCATCTCCAGGTCCTAGCAAGCATAAGAGAAGCTGGCAGAATTCAGCAGGTGAACGATTTGGTGAAGGAATTAGGGAGCGACACAACTACAGACATGTCCCCTCACCTGTTAAAGGTGGCAAGAGAGATTTTAGATCTCCAGCAAAAGTAAGTGATCGGAGAAATTACTCAGATTCTCTGGGCGTGGTACATAAAAGCCACCCTGCTCATATTCGGAAGACAGGGCATTCAGAAGGTGAGTTAACTTGTTTGTGACTGTTTTTATTTTGAAAGTTTGAGAAAATTGTGTATAATAGTTTCCAGTTTTTGGTTGCTAGAGATACCACAGTTGTGGTTGTTTGCTGGGGCAGGCAAGACTTTGGTGCTGGCTGTCATCTTCATTCTTTCTCTACATCCTTTTCTGCCTTTCTGCCTTGATATTCTCTGTCTCATAATGTTCTTCTCTCGTCCTTGCTTGGTAGTCATGTCTATCCACAGTCCTCTGTCTCATGTAGTTTCCATAAATTCCGACACAGATAATCCTCTGTACCATTATGACAGACTGTCTGTCATCTTCTCTCTGTGTCTCCCTCTACCTTTTTTACCCCTCCAGCTTTCCCCACCATCACGATATACTCCAGTATTTTTTTCTTATGGCATGAAAAACAAATGTACATTATTTCTCTCTGATGATGAGCCAGTTTTTTTTAAGACATCTTCATTACTCTTGTTATCTCTCTGGACTGTTTTCATCATTCGCCTATTAAACCACGGCTTCCACTTAATTTGTCACTAGTGGCCAACTGTTCATGATTCACTTCTCAAAATGTTACAAAACCACTGTCCTAAGTACAGCATATCAAGGCAAAACTTCTGGCCAAGAGAAACGCCAGTGCACGACAAACATGGATGGCTGAGTGAATTACAAAAGACAACGAACTTCATACTAGAGACAGCATTGCAGATATAGATAATCTATTTCAAGCGAATGTAATAAGAAGAAGAAGAAGTAGTTACAAAAGCCACTTATATGAGTTCCTCATGTCCCATACAGCTGCTGCATTGCCCTACTCCTGATATAATTACTGATAAAAACATATTTAATGTTTGTACTGACACTGTTCGCAGAGTCATTGGAGGTTAAAATGTGTTTTTTAACTGGCGTGATGCTGACCACATCACCGATCTTGTGCAGATTGGTCTTTAAAAATATAGGTCTAGCCCTATATGCCCTATAGCCTAAAGGTGTAGAGAAGGGACATTTACTTTAAAAATTTGTTTTTTAAACTTAAGTGTTTTTAACACCAGCGTGTTCAAATAAGAATGAACCTACGACAGATCCAGCAAACCGGTAGGGAATTTTATTGTTCAATACTGCTAGAGAATTGTGGAGGAAATTAAAGGAAATACCCCATTCTATCAGTGCCGGAAACACACATAGGGCGTAGAAAAAAGCCAACAACAGCTAAAGTAAAAAAAAAAAAAGTAAGTGCTGCCAGAACAGTTACGAACGCAGGGGCTGCACACGAAAAGATCGGAAATGGCTGCCTTAGGAGAAGATGGATTGATGACATTAAAGAGCTTCTCCATCGACACGGAATGAAAATAGCTATTCCTGCCCATCAAGCAATGGATCGCAAACTGTTCTTCTCGGTGCTTAAAATGGCAGAAATGGAAATTGATGACGAATGATTGACCACTGTAGGGATGGGGTCTTGGTCATGAGGATTGATGGCACTATGGCTAGTCAGTCGCTGTGCCTGATAAAGTGCTTATTTTTGCCCCCAGCAGAGACATTTTGACTGATTTCTCTAGACGTATGATCTGTATCCCGATGCAATGATGGAGAACATGAGGGTGTAGCCTAGAGTTGCCAGACCTGAACACATCCACTAAGGGCACAAGACATCTGACTCCTCAACACCAAATGGGCATGCTTAATCATGTTATACTTATGGAGCTATTTGAGGAGATCAGAGCACCTGTGGTTCTGTCAGCAATGCTGTGATCATAGTCCTCCCCAAGGCTTTTGTGTGAAAAAAAAAAGGTGCCGGCACAAAATGTTTGTGCCAATAGCAGTGAAAACATTAAGCCTAAAAAAAAGGGTCGGTACGTGTACCGTTGCATACTGCCAAAAGGTAAAGCCTTGGTCCTCGCTAAAGTGACTGCAACATCAGACAGAAAGTTAACTCTTTGCGCACTTAACAACTCACCATACTCGATCAGTCTATAGACAGTATTATTAACATACCTGGGTTCCGACTCAGTTGCAGATGAGTTGGAAGCAGGCCCCTTTGCATTGATATCAGCAGTGTTTTAAGCGTTAAATTATTCAGAAAAGAATGGCAAACTACTAACTATGAGATTACCTACAAAAACCACGATTATCCAACAAATATCGAGGTTGGTGTGCAGCGTCTGGTAAAGGATATGAAGCTAACTATCGGCTAAAGCTCTCGGCTGTTCAGTTGGTAGCTCGTGCGCCTATGCAGCCTGGCTAGTGGCCTGCAGATCATTGCCACTTGTTCTGTATTAATGATCTTTTTAGGCTGGGGCTCTGGCTTGTGCCTGCGATGATCTCTGTTGTAAGCATTTCAGATTTAGACAGATAGCCCTGCAATAGCTAGTTCATTTGTTACACAGTATGTTAGTTGTGCACTTCTCTACCAAGGCCGAAAGCTGGGAAAACACTGGCACTGAGAGAACACAGAGATACAAAGTTGCAAATACAAGCTGAAAAGTTCCTCAGTATGCCAGATCACCCCATGAAAAATAGATTTCAGAACCTAGCCTTGGGACGGGTAAAAAGAAGCAGCTTAATACATCAAGCAAAAAGAATATGTAGACAAACTGCTGACCTTCCAGAAATTGGTTGCCCACTTAACAGTATTCCAGAACAAACCCCATGGAGAGAGAAATGCAAACTAACAGTACAAATCCAGACAAATTTGAAAGGAATATTTGACAAGAAATAACAAGATAGTGTAAAACGCAAAATGGCCACCCTCAGTTATATTGATGAAGAATACCCACAAGAACAATGGGTCAGAGTCTATACAGATGGGTCCGCAGAAAGTCAGTTAGAAATGGTGGTGCTGGAGTGTACATAGAATTCCCACATGGTACTAGGGATAAGTCCAACGTACCAACCGGAAAGTACTGCCATAACTATGATGCAGAAACTCAGGCTATCAGGATAGCAACAGAGAAACTGCTAAATACCAATCTTGGCTCCCAGTATGTAGTAATGCTGACAGATGCAAAATCAGTACTTGAAGCACTCCAGTCTAGGAAACTACCAGAATTGCAAACACTGCTGACACAACTTAGCCTTCAGCAAAGAGTTGTAATGCAGTGGATACCATCACATTGTGGAGTGCCTGGAAATGAGAAAGCTGATCAACTGGCAGGAGAAGGTGCGACAAAAGTGCAGCCGGATGTACCAGTCACATACCACCAAAAGAAAAGAATCATTAAGTCAATCAGGAAACCACTAGACCCAGCACAAGACGACTATTTTATTTTGGACAGATCAGAACAAGTCATTATTCTCCGCCTCAGGACAGGGCACAACCGATTACGTAACCACATGTACACAAAATTCAAGATAGGCGGATCAGCCATGTGCACCTGTGGAAAGGTGCCCCAGACAGCAGAGCATGTACTCCAGGACAGCACCGAATTTGACACATTAAGGCAAACCTTTTGGCCAGAAAAAACAACAGTGAAACGTAAACTCTATAGACCACTGAATGAATTAACAACGACAGTGAAATTTATACAAGAGACAAAATTGCTGATATAGACAACTTATTTCAGGCGAACGAAAGAAGAAGAAGATTTCAGATTTAGACAGATAGCCCTGCTGTAGCTAGTTCATTTGTTACACAGTATGTTAGTTGTGCACTTCTCTTCCAAGGCCGAGGTGTACCTCTGTCCTATCCACGACATTCACCAGGACCTCCACCCAGGGGCAGAGACAAAGCTTTGTCTGTGTCACGTTCGGGTGACTGGTCAGGATCAGGGTCAAAGCCGAGATCAGGCTTAGTGAGGGCTCAGCCTGTCCGGGAACACAGGTGAGGGGATGCTTGTCTGTAGGGTAGATTCCTCCTCTTCCCTTTCTACCTGTCTGATGCCATCGGTATAACTCATTCTAGGCTGTAGGTCATCTTTATCTGCCTACTGAGCTCTGTGTGAAATAAAATGGCACAATGGGACGGTGAATGAAAATTAACACTTTACATCCTAGGTGCAGTCTCTTTTACCTTTATTTTATGTATCTCCCCCTCCTTCTCCCTCAGCATCTGTCTTCTTGTTTCTCATTGTTTTTATGTACATGTTTGTTTGTTTGTCCAGTCAGCCTTAAGACATTTGCTGCAGGAGATGGAGCACCTATGGGTATGCCCGGTGTGCTGTAGCATCAATATCTCACTCACAAATCAGCAACCGGTTATATATTAAAAAATAAAAAAGAAGAAAAGCAAGTGCTGTCTCCATAATGAGGGTTGGCTGCAATATCTTTGGGGAATATTAAATGGGGAGGCACCAGTTTCTTCAACAGTACAACTCCCATACCATTGTCCAAAAACCATAAGAAGGAAATTTTCCCCCAGCCCACTGCAGAAATCATACCTTAGTACTCGAGGATAATGAAATTGTTAGTTAACCGCATTTGCTGTCCTCTAAGTCTAAGAGCCATAAATTAGATCATCATGGGAGCCGTGGTAGCCTAGTGGCTACACTCTGCCAGCCAAAAAGGTATTGGTTTTAACCTGCATTGAGTTTATTTGAAAAAGACTTTGTCTCCCAGGCCAACCCACCCACAAATGGGGAATGGATATCAGAGCATATGAAAAGTACAGCCAGCTAGCTTGACATTATCACAGACGACAAGGGGACGTTGCTGCTAGAGAGGCATCACCAGCACTTTACATTGGAAGGTCATGGGTAGTGAGCATACTTTGGATCTTTTCTCCAGGCATGTCGGCGTAGTGAGTAATGGACAGGCAGACAGATTGGCTGGATCTGCACCACTTGGTGGTGAATTGAAATATGACAAGGCAGATGTGGCTAAGGCCCTTTGGGAAAAAGCAGCAGAATCAGTAGAAAAAAAAGATTAACTATTATGGTCTGGAGAGAATGAGGCACCTGGGTGTAACCAGAGGATCTGACTGGCTCACTACACTCAGAGGAAAGGCAAGACAAACATTTAACGAGATTGTAACAGGTACCATCAGTATTAGAACTCTTTGCTGGCTGCTGAAGATGAGGTAGCACGCATGGGAATGCCCAGAGTGCTGTGATGTCAATTCATGACTCAACTCAGCTCAACTTATTACATGAATCAGCAGAACCACAAAAATGAACAAGAATACACAAAATCCCTCAGCTTAAGTGTTTCCAAGAGGAATCACCTATTTTTCTGGCTAGTTGAATCTCTGACACATGTGTGACTACCAGAAATAAATACAAGCCAGAAAAATGCTGTGAACTGCAAGAGCTGTATCAAAGATTGGATAAAACTGTGTTATCTGTCAAAATACGTACAATGTGACATTCTGGGAAGTAAGGGCTCTGGTGTGATGTTGGCCACATCACCTACTCACGCTGATGGGGGCTGTTCAAATATCAGTCTAGCATCATATACCTAATGCTCTACCAGTTTGAAAAGGATATTTTACTTTTTTGTTTTTAGAAGCAAATCTTCATTGGTAATATTGTTGTTGATCTTTTGAAATAGACATGAATCAAAAGCAAAAAGGCTGTCACCATCACCGAAGCTTGAGCCATCCATAAAGAAACGGCGACTGTCATCTGCTTCTTTGAGCCCATTACGGAAACATTCAAGAAGCAGGTCACGGGGAAGGTCACCTATTTCTTCTTCATCACATGCCAAGAAGGATTTGTCGTCAGCTCGTGATGTTAGTAGCTTGATTCCTCAGAGGAAGGTTAGCAGTTCATCCAGCAAGCGGAAGAGTCCGCGGGTGACTCTTCACAAACGGTTCACATTGGATGATCAGGAGACATTTGAAATTGAGGAGAATGTGACGATTGCTATCTTGCGCAAACCAGATGCCCAGCCTTCTGAGGATGTTACAGTCAAGGTGCGGTTTCAGTGTAGTCATTCAGTGTTATAGATTTAGTTATTTTGTTTGGTTTTCTTTGTTTTCTCCGCGTGTTTGCAGTGTTTTCTAGTATGTTTGCGGTGTGTTTGCAGTGTCTTTGTGTTTTGGCCGTTTCTTCTAGTGTGTTTGCAGTATCTTCTAGTATGTTTGCAGTGTCTTCTAGTATGTTCGCAGTGTCTTCTAATATGTTTGCAGTGTCTTCTAGTATGTTTGCAGTATCTTCTAGTATGTTCGCAGTGTCTTATAATATGTTTGCAGTGTCTTCTAGTGTGTTTGCAGTATCTTCTAGTATGTTCGCAGTGTCTTATAATATGTTTGCAGTGTCTTCTAGTATGTTCGCAGTGTCTTATAATATGTTTGCAGTATCTTCTAGTATGTTCGCAGTGTCTTATAATATGTTTGCAGTATCTTCTAGTATGTTCGCAGTGTCTTATAATATGTTTGCAGTATCTTCTAGTATGTTCGCAGTGTCTTATAATATGTTTGCAGTGTCTTCTAGTATGTTCGCAGTGTCTTATAATATGTTTGCAGTATCTTCTAGTATGTTTGCAGTATCTTCTAGTATGTTCGCAGTGTCTTCTAATATGTTTGCAGTGTCTTCTAGTGTGTTTGCAGTGTCATCTATTATGTTTGCAGTGTCTTCTAGTGTGTTTGCAGTGTCTTCTAGTGTGTTTGCAGTATCTTCTAGTATGTTTGCAGTGTCTTCTAGTATGTTTGCAGTGTCTTCTAGTATGTTTGCAGTGTCTTCTATTATGTTTGCAGTGTCTTCTAGTGTGTTTGCAGTGTCTTCTAGTATGTTTGCAGTGTCTTCTAGTATGTTTGCAGTGTCATCTATTATGTTTGCAGTGTCTTCTAGTGTGTTTGCAGTGTCTTCTAGTGTGTTTGCAGTATCTTCTAGTATGTTTGCAGTGTCTTCTAGTATGTTTGCAGTGTCTTCTAGTATGTTTGCGGTGTCTTCTAGTGTGTTTGCAGTGTCTTCTAGTATGTTTGCAGTGTCTTCTAGTATGTTTGCAGTGTCTTCTAGTATGTTTGCGGTGTCTTCTAGTATGTTTGCAGTGTCTTCTAATATGTTTGCAGTGTCTTCTAGTATGTTTGCAGTGTCTTCTAATATGTTTGCAGTGTCTTCTAGTATGTTTGCGGTGTCTTCTAATATGTTTGCGGTGTCATCTAGTATGTTTGCAGTGTCTTCTAGTATGTTTGCAGTGTCTTCTAGTATGTTTGCAGTGTCTTCTAGTATGTTTGCAGTGTCTTCTAGTATGTTTGCAGTGTCTTCTAATATGTTTGCAGTGTCTTCTAATATGTTTGCAGTGTCTTCTAGTATGTTTGCAGTGTCTTCTAGTATGTTTGCAGTGTCATCTAGTATGTTTGTGGTGTCTTCTAGTATGTTTGCAGTGTCTTCTAGTATGTTTGCAGTGTCTTCTAGTATGTTTGCAGTGTCTTCTAGTATGTTTGCAGTGTCTTCTAGTATGTTTGCAGTGTCTTCTAATATGTTTGCAGTATCTTCTAGTATGTTTGCAGTGTCTTCTAGTATGTTTGCAGTGTCATCTAGTATGTTTGTAGTGTCTTCTATTATGTTTGTAGTGTCTTCTAATATGTTTGCAGTATCTTCTAGTATGTTTGCAGTATCTTCTAGTATGTTTGCAGTGTCATCTAGTATGTTTGTAGTGTCTTCTATTATGTTTGTAGTGTCTTCTAATATGTTTGCAGTATCTTCTAGTATGTTTGCAGTGTCTTCTAATATGTTTGCAGTATCTTCTAATATGTTTGCAGTATCTTCTAATATGTTTGCAGTATCTTCTAGTATGTTTGCAGTGTCTTCTAATATGTTTGCAGTGTCTTCTAATATGTTTGCAGTGTCTTCTATTATGTTTGCAGTGTCTTCTAATATGTTTGCGGTGTCTTCTAATATGTTTGCGGTGTCTTCTAGTATGTTTGCGGTGTCTTCTAGTATGTTTGCAGTGTCTTCTAGTATGTTTGCAGTATCTTCTAGTATGTTTGCAGTATCTTCTAGTATGTTTGCGGTGTCTTCTAGTATGTTTGCAGTGTCTTCTAGTATGTTTGCGGTGTCTTCTAGTATGTTTGCGGTGTCTTCTAGTATGTTTGCGGTGTCTTCTAGTATGTTTGCGGTGTCTTCTAGTATGTTTGCAGTATCTTCTAATATGTTTGTAGTGTCTTCTATTATGTTTGCAGTGTCTTCTAATATGTTTGCAGTATCTTCTAATATGTTTGCAGTATCTTCTAGTATGTTTGCAGTATCTTCTAATATGTTTGCAGTATCTTCTATGTTTGCAGTATCTTCTAATATGTTTGTAGTGTCTTCTATTATGTTTGCAGTGTCTTCTAATATGTTTGCAGTATCTTCTAATATGTTTGCAGTATCTTCTAGTATGTTTGCAGTATCTTCTAGTATGTTTGCAGTATCTTCTAATATGTTTGCAGTGTCTTCTAGTATGTTTGCAGTATCTTCTAATATGTTTGCAGTGTCTTCTAATATGTTTGCAGTGTCTTCTAATATGTTTGCAGTATCTTCTAGTATGTTTGCAGTATCTTCTAATATGTTTGCAGTATCTTCTAATATGTTTGCAGTGTCTTCTAATATGTTTGCAGTATCTTCTAGTATGTTTGCGGTGTCTTCTAGTATGTTTGCAGTGTCTTCTAGTATGTTTGTGGTGTCTTCTAGTATGTTAGTAGTATCTTCCAGTCTTTATAAGTCCTGGCATTTAATAATCATGGTTTTCCCCTGTGGGTTCAGGGATCCCATTTTGGGGAATACAAAAATGGATCCACTGTCCTCTTTTTTTTTTAACGAATCCAGAAACCATGAGTTGTAAACCCTTTGGCTCGGTACTATGGATATCGCAACCCTTCGGCCTTGATTCCATTATAGGTACCGTTAATCTGGGAGAAATGTGGCTTTTCTGCCTACCCTCTGGAGTGAACCCGGACCACAAGGAGTTCATCACCCGGCCCCTGCAAAAGTCAGGTTTAACCAACTTTGCTAGAGAGCCGGAAAAAGCATGTCATAACAGACAATTAAGTAGGGTGTTTCCTTCAAAGTGGAAGTGTATCTGCCTGAGAGGCAAGGAACCGAAAGTCGGCATACAAAAGAGCTAGATATTTACAAAGGATGTGTGTGCTAAACTCAGGTTCTGGAACAAGATCAGATGTAGAAGTGGTCGAACGACTATAATTTTCTGCCAGGGTTAACAGCCAGTGAACGCTAAGGAGAACATAATCATAGTTCTCAGAAATTGCTATAGGCAACTGTGGTTTATGGGGATCAGTTTAGGCACTGGTGGTTCTATGAGACCGATGTAGGTAGCTGTGGAGACTGATGTAGGCAGTCATGGAGATTGGTGTAGGCAACCATGGTTCATTGCTATAGCTCTTGTAGGCAGAATTCACTTAGTTCTTGTGTGATGTTGACTGCTCATTCTTTGATTCTAGAGTACTACTACTCCCCCTTCTTCATCGTCGTTATTGTCATTTTTTTTTTGCAACCTCTTCTTCATCTTCTTCTTCTTCTTCATCATCATCATTATCTTTACCTTCATCATCTTCTTCTATTGTTTTATATCTTCTCTTTCTCCTCCCTCAGCATCTGTCTTCTTCCTCATTGTTTTTGTGTATGTGTTTGTTCATTTGTCCAGTAAGTATTGTATTAGACATTTGTCCAGTAAGTATTGTATTAGACATTTGTCCAGTAAGTATTGTATTAGACATTTGTCCAGTAAGTATTGTATTAGACATTTGTCCAGTAAGTATTGTATTAGACATTTGTCCAGTAAGTATTGTATTAGACATTTGTCCAGTAAGTATTGTATTAGACATTTGTCCAGTAAGTATTGTATTAGACATTTGTCCAGTAAGTATTGTATTAGACATTTGTCCAGTAAGTATTGTATTAGACATTTGTCCAGTAAGTATTGTATTAGACATTTGTCCAGTAAGTATTGTATTAGACAGTAAAAGCCCACTGGTATAATTATTTTCTTCATGTGCTTCTGTTTTTTCTCTGTGTAGAAAGTTTTTGAGGCATCACAGTTTAAAATGATTCACAAGAAGACGGAGGGCAGGAAGCCCATCTTTGACCGGGAGGAGATTAAAGTGTGGCGTCACGACGAGAACTTGACAGATGACCCAGATTATGAGTATCGGCTGGTGAGGGTGAAATCCACCACAGGAACATCAAAGTCCGCATCCAACGAGCTGTCACGCCTGTCACCAGATGTTGTCAGGTTAGTTAGCATCTTCCTGTGTGTTGATAATGAATACTTACTCATGAGGATATTTGCAGTTAAGGAGATATTCTTTTTCTTCACGTTCACCAGCTGTAAACTCTGGCGGAAAGTTCTGGTTGTTCATTCACTTTTGGACTGCAGTCCTGTTCCAAAACCTGAGTGTTGCGTGTGCATCCGTTTTACAGATCTGACTCATTTGTATGCAGACTGCTGGTTCCTTGTCTTTCAGACAGATGCACTCGGACTTTGAAGGAAGCTCCCAATTAGTCTACTCTTACAACGTGCTTCTGGGTAGGCAGTGGGTCTGTTCTTTCCCCCCCCCCCCCCCCCCCCCCTATAGTAGGGCCCAGGAACCCACACGGGGAGTTAAGGAGATAGATTTAGACAGAACGAACAAACAGACTTTATTTATTTCCAGAATGTCACAAATGCGGCTTGCAGGCTATCTGATATGCATCCCTTTTAAACATTCCTCTTTCACAACGCAAATGTATTTTATATGTCAAGCACTTTATGCTCATATATCAAATGTTATAGTATACCAGGGAGGCCAACCCGGTCAACAAACGCCCGCAGAAGTCGGATGTGTTGGCCGAAAGGTGCAAATATCGCAGCCATGCTGTAAACGGACACAACGCAATTACATCTTTGAATAAATGCAGAAGAAGAAATGTTATAGTATGAAATGTTAAATAAAAAGACAAAAGCTTTGATGCCAGATGCATACTTTCATATATTCATGCAACACATTCACAGTGCAGAGAGAGAGAGAGAGACGCGCACACCTGCGCACGCACACACGCTGGGAAATCTGTGGAAGTGAAAGGAAATTAACACTAGTACTAAACTCAAAGAATCCTTGGTAAGGCTGGGGATTTTGTTGTTGTTGAGGACAAAGTAAAGTTATCACCTGCACAATCGACAGCACTAGCCATGCAGGCATAAATTCTCAGTCTCAAAGAAGCCAACCCCATCCCCCCACCTACACCTTAAATGTGGTTAAAAAAACCCAAACATTTTAGTCAGTAATTGGCAGTGATTACTGCTGTATAGAGCTACAACATAAAGAACAACTAAAACAGTTTATCATAAGCTGCAAACATTCATTAAATGGTGCCCGAGTCAATCAGGGCAATAGGATGATAGAAGCTAATGCTCAGTTTTGGGAGAGAACTAAACAAGTTCAAGAGGTCAGGAAAAGATTCTGGTGTTGGAAAGGACACATGTTGAGAAAACCTGGAAACAATATAACTGGATTGTCTTTGCACTGGAAGCCACAGGGGCATATAAATAAAGGGCAGAAGAAAGTAGAAGAATAATCTGAGCTCTTCGATATTTTAATTTAGTTGCTTTTGAAATGCATTTTAATGAGATGTTAGATTGTATGTTATCACTCTGAAATCTCCAGTCAGAACTGTGTTTTCATGTTTTCAGGAAAACTATAAGACTGCAGGAAAGTGGGAAATCTAATGTATTGGCATCACATGCAGAACCACCGATCAGGTAATTGTTGTTATGACATTTGTTGCTATCTGTGCCCCAGGAACCAAGTGGGATGGCACTGTATTCTTCGTCCAGCCAACTGTCAAGTGACGTTGGAGGGCAGCAAAGGATGTTGCTGGTTTGTCTGTGGACAACAAAAGTCTACATTTATCCAAAGTTTGCAATTCTTACACTGCTAACGATAAGACAAGTCAGCACTGATAGCAGCTGTGATGAACCAAGAAGGGACAGCGTGGGATAGGTCACAAGTGAGAACGTCTGATAATAGCATTACTAGAAAGTCCTTACACTGAAACAAGGTTAAAACAGTAAAGGGAGACTGTTTAAAAAAAAACAAAAAACTATCCAACAAGGAGAAGAAACAAAATAAAACAAAGACCGGACACAAAACTGTTGAAACCACACCAGTAAATTGGAGCTGTTAAAAAAACACACTATCCAGCAAAGACTTGGAAAAGAAACAAAATAATACAAAGACCGGACACAGAACCACTGAAACCAAACCAGTAATTTGGAGATAAGCAGAGCACAAGCTGTCATATAAAGAATACAAACACGGTAAGACATTAGAAAACAATCAGGAGGATGGACAGACAAAAAGGAACCCTCACGCGGACCAACACAAAAGATGCAGACATGGAGGATTTGACATTAGAACACACAGATGTACACATTCAGCATTTAAACCTGGAATAAACAACTCAATATCAGCCATTAAACCTGGCACAAGAAAACCAGACCACAATTATAACCAAAAGTTTCTCTGAAGCTGGCTGAATGCGGACATGTTTTTATTTTTATCTGTCGAGCAACCAACCACCTGACACGTGGGGGGGGGGGGGGGGGGAAATTATTTAGACAGATGCATAAGAAAGAGGGCTTGAGTGCACTGCACAAGAACTGGGGTAGAACAAGCATGGTGCTTATGAAAGAGCATGTTTATTTCTCAGTTGTTATTGTCAATTAAACATTGAAGAGTTCCCTGAGGAGAGGAATATGTGCATTGCAAGATGTGGAATTGGTAGGGGATTTTTGGAGTGAAAACTTGTAAAGTTATTTTCACCTCTGACACAACTGCAGATAAACCAACACAACACTGAAGAAAGTGAAAATGTTGCATGCTTTGTATCCCTTACCTCTGTGGTTGACAACAGTCTAGACTAGTCAGAAACATCACTAAGAGACTGGCTTTGGAAATGCTGAAGCTATCTGGTAATCTTAATTTCAGCTTCATAGCAAACGGGGCAACCCATAGTTGCCCACTCCTGGGCCAATGAAAAACACACAGAATGTATCTAAACTGCTGATGGCACCAGCAGAAATGTAACTCTTCACTGGCTGCTGAAGATAAGGATAGAGCGCTTATAGGAATGTTCCAAGTGCTGTGATGTCAGTTCTTCGCTCAATATTCAGTGGCTATCTAGCCAACAGTCTGTTTACTGTTATTAGCTTGGCACCCCACAGGAGACATCATTAATGATATGCAATGTGCATATCACAGAGAAGATTATGACAGCAGGAATGACTCAGTACCGTTTGCCAGGCTTCTGGATGTGCATCCTGAAGCAGCCAGACAGGAACATTTCACAAAGAGCACAGCACGTCAGATTAATCAGTTCACAACAAGCATGATCATCTGTAATACGCTTGGGAAGCTGCTGAGGAGGAGATCGGAGCAGCTTTGAATCTGTCCAAAGTGCTGTGATGATAATCCTTACCCATTACTAATGCAGAAGTTAAACGGTATGGAAGAGCTAATGGCACAACGGTAGATGAAAGGGAAAACTTTGAGAAGTGGCGTCTTTCCAGTGGTATTGTGCAGATGTGAATCAAGGACCATATAAATATGCAAGAATTTTAAGACTTTGAACTTTAATACTGCAGAAAAAAATATGAGTACTGTGAATCAGGAAGAACAGAAATACTGACATCCTACAGGATCTGAACATCCCAGTAAACTGGCTTGTATGCAGCATCATGGCTTCCAGTCAGTTGTGGTGGATAGACACTGGTGTTTTGTTGTCTGTGAAGTTGTTTATGCTTCCAGCAACGTCCATGTCATATTGGTCCATTATGAACTGACAAACATTTTAGACTTGTTTTAAGTCACCAACAGTGTGACTGACGCTTAAAATGAATGAATCAAATGAAAGAAACAAAATCGAGGGATAACTAACTTGAAGAAAGATTCAATGCAGAAATGAGCAGAGTGTTTCCTCCAGGAAGCATTAAGACAAACCGTGATCGAAGAGAACAAGTCCAATATGGAGAGAAGATTGAGAGAAGAGACGAGGAGACAGAAGAAACAGAAGAAAACATCAGTGGAGACAGACCAACGAAATCCCACGTGTCAAGCAATACAGAGGATGCCAGACATAGATGAGTAACAAAAACAACAGGAAGGAAGGAAAGACAAGATTACACAAAAGTCCATGTAAGGACTAACCACCATTATATACCAGAAACCTAGATAACATCAAGTGAGAGTGGAAAGGGCGACTGGGACAACAGAAGAAGGAATCAACCAATCAGCATCCTCGCAATGATAGCGGCAAGATGGAAACGAAATACGACAACCTAATAATTGCCTCCAGATGTGTCCTGACATAGTCGGGAATGAAACCAAACCACATAACAAGGAGGAATAGAAGAACCCTTCCTTGTTAAACACCAATACGGACATGTTGAAACAATGCTATAGAAGAAAGAATCAACATCACTTAAAATGTCTAATGACTACAAGACCTAATGAAGCCAAAAGAAGCCATACGTGAACAAGTCCTACACAAATAAAGGCCGCAAATATAGACAACAGCTATGAGGAGCTGAAATGTCTGAACGCGATCGATTTATTCAATTTTGCAGTTTCTGTTTTTTTTTTAAACCTTTGATTTAAAAGCTGATTTATTTATGCTTGTCACCTTGTGATATTGTAGTGAACGGACCAGTTGCCTACTGAAGGAAGCATTGCCTGAACACACAAGTGTTCTAAAGGTCAACAAACAGAAAGAAATTGCGTAGCTGATGATTGCATCTTTGCACCACTTGAAAACATGTTTAGTGTGCGCAGAGGCAAACACGTGGACAAAAATTTGAGAATCAGTAGACGGAGATAGAAGGGTTTGTTCAGTTCATTTGAAAAGTTATGTTTAGCAGTACACAGTGGATAATCTCAATATAGCAGCAAAAGCACAAAACATGAAAATTAACATTAAAAAATTCAAGAAATTATGGCCATTGCAATAAAAGAACAGCTAATCAAGATATGTATAGAAAACCAAATGAAGCAAGCAAAAGACTTTGAGTATCTTGGCAGCATAATATTATTCAGTGGAGACACCGAGGCAGAGAAAGAATGTAGATATAATAAAGCATCAACCTAGTCATAACGCGTGTGATGGAAATAGGAGACATTGAGTCAGCTGTTGCATCAGAGGATGGAGCATGAATGGGTCGGACTGATGGTGCTAGGATGTCGCTATGGATAACCAGTAACATGCGAGGAAATGCAATAGAAGATTGTCAAGAAAAAACACGTTACAGATGCAACAAAGCAAATAAAGTTATTGGACAAATTCCAACAGCATTGTAAATTATAAATACTTATGACTTGAAACAAAAAAATGCAACTATTTAGCAGTCTTACGGTCTTTATGATGCTATCTGTATCAGGCTCAAAAACTTAAAACAAATTGAAGAAAAATTTAAACAACAGGAATAGAATATTTGCAAGAAATTGTAAATGTAATAAGAGAAAACGTAACATCAATAAGTTTGTAGATTCAGTTTAGGTGGAGCATTTTTTTAATATCAGGCAGCATTTGTGATTTGTTCCAAACATACTGGTATTACCTTTCATTTTGAGTAAACAAGGCAGGTTGAGGGAGGGATCATGTTACAAAGGCAGTGCATGATCTCAGCTCAGACTGTGTTTTATGGAGAGGAGGAACTTCACCCCTGGCCTAATTTAGGTCTTGCTGGTCACTGTCGTCATCACCGTCATCATCGCCGTGGGCTGTGTAAAGACGGACAGGTGTCAGCAGCACAAGAACCAGAGACCATATCCTCCATATGGCAACATTGAGAAATACAGAACAAACGAATGAACAAACTTTATTTTTACAGGGTTCAGAATTGGGCCTAGACTGCATGAGACTTTACAGTAGAACATCTGGGAGGAAGGCGAGAGAAAGACCAAGAAAGAGATGAATGAATAATGTAGCTGAAACCTGCAAAAAGATAATCAAATCCATCACCCAAACCACCCGAGAAGTGAATAACCAGTCTTTCTGAAGATTAGTGCACGTAGAAGTGACTAAAGAATCTGATAAATGCTCAATGATCAGAGGAGAGTAGAGATGGAAGTATGATCAGACTTGAGCTGACTCCTGTTAGTACCAGAATTGGGCTGGCTGCTGAAGGTGGGGACAGAGCATTTATTTGATTGCCCCACAAGCCTTATTGTTTTTCCTAAGGCAAAGAACAGTATGATGCCAAACACAGCTCTAGCACTGCCACAGGATGACAGCAAACAGTGGATCTCAGCACCGATAAGATCAGTACCAACCAGACAGATAGCCAAGCAGCCAGTCAGTCAAGCAGTGAGCCATGCAGCCAGCCAGTCAGTCAAGCAGCCAGCCAAGCAGCCATCCAGTGAGCCAAACAGCCAGCCAGTCAGTCAGCCAGCTACATGGCTCATCTGGGCTGATGCCTTGAAAAGCAATACATCCAGAGTGCCCTTCAGCCTCATAAGTCACATGGCTTAGCTAAACAACGTAAGACACTTGTAAAACGAAACTGTATGCAACACCAAAGGATGGAGCAGAGCAAAAATGTGTATGAATGCACTGTGGAAAAACAGGGTTACTGGAGCACCAGTTTAGGTGACCTTCAGTGTGAAGATGACACTTGATGACAGCATCCTGATAGATATTTTCTGGAAGTAGAGATCTGTTTACTAACAAGTTGAATATGTTGGACAGTGAGTAGTGGAACAGTTC